TACCCTGCCAAAATGCTTTCAGACTTCTATTGCCCATTTTCTAGCTCCAATAAGAAGGCTCTTGATAATTTGGGCCCTAATGACTCTTGAGCTTCATTTCTTGACACTTTCTGGAGCAGTTCTGGAAGTCCTCTTTCTTACCACACCAACGATAACCTCTATTCCAATCACACTGACATATGTCCTATTCACAGATATATGATACTGCTCCATTCCTCTGCATCTTTGCTTATTCTGTTCCTACTCCCTACAACCTTCCCTGATTTGTTCATTGAACCAGCCTCTTTTAAGATCAGCTCAAATCCCTTCTCCAGGAAGGTTTTCCTAGGGTAGACTTGATGTCTCCCACTTTTATACCTCCAGTACGTTAGTACCTCTAACACTCTTTACTGAATTTATTATTTTTTCATATTCATCTCTTCCTACTAGATATGAACTTCTTGAAGGCAAAAACTGGATCTTATTCATGGATATACCAAGCATGTAGTGTGGTGATGGAATACATACAGTAGGCTCTCAATAAACAGTGACTATTATTCCAACAACTAGCACCAAAGACCAACATATCCTAATTACTCAAACATCTGTTGAATGAAAAATGATCAGCATGTTCTTGCCATCTGCCCAAGGCCAGAGGACTAAGATATCCAATCTGTACCTTCCAGATTGTTCCAAGATCTGCCATAGTCAAAGAACTTGCACTGTATTTTTTTTTCTTGTTTTTGTTTTTTTGTCTTATTCTTTATTTATTTTTTATTTTATTGGGGAACAGCCATGGTCATTGGTTACATATTGCTTTCATGCTACAATGGCATAGTTGACTCTTTTAAGTAGGGCACAGCTCACCGTGGCCCATGTGGGGATCGAACCAGAAACCTTGGTGTTATCAGCACCACACTCTAACCAACTGAGATAACTGGTCACCCCTGTATTTTCTTTTTTTTGTATTATTGGCCTTTATATTTACTTTCCTAGGGCTGCCATAACAAATCAATACCTGTCTAAACAACAGAAACTTATTTTCTTATAGTTCTGGAGGCTAGAAGTCTGAGATCAAGCTGTTTTACCAGGGCTGCTTTCTTCTGAGGTCTCTCTCCTTGGCTTGCAGATTGCTGTCTTCATGTTCATATGGCTTTCTCCCTCTGCATGTCCCATGTCCACATTTCCTCTTCTTATAAGTACATCAGCCATTGGATCAGGGCCCACCCCACTGGCCTTATTTTAACTTAATTACATCTTTAAAGACTCTATCTCCAAATACAGTCACATACTGAGGTACAGGAGATTAGGACTTTAACATATGGATTTTAGGAGGACACAATTAAGTCCATCACAGCCTCCTACTAGTTTGTGAGCTCCTCAAAAGACAGCGGTATAACTTAGTGTTTCTTAGTGTATGCTATAATTAGCAGAGTACCTGAAACACAGCAGATTCTCAAATTATTTGTGGGATACATAAGTGAAGGACCTTCCCAGAAGTATAGTCCATCTCTGTGGAGTGTATCCCCTTCCAAATCTGGTGGACAACACGTAAAAGACTATGGCTTTACTCTTCCCCTGAAAGAAAGCTTTGATGCTATCATGGTTTCTAGATAGCCCATTGCCAAACAGCCACTTTTACAGCACCCAACACCTAGCAGAAAAATCAAATCCTTAAGACCAGATACCCAAAGTCAACTACCAATGCTCTACTCCTTCCAGATCCATTCTGACACACCAGACTGACAGCATCATACACAGCTAAAGTAAGATTCAAAGTCAAGAGAAAACTAACACTGCTCTGCCTGAAGAACAAGGTGAACAAGCTTAAGAGAAGTGGTAAAATGGGCATCTGCCTTTTTCCTTCACTAAAGGAAACTGCCCTTCACTGTTCTGTGTGATTTTGGTGGGCCTATTTATCATGTACTTGCCTTCCCCCATTATCAAGATGGGCATGGGACCTAATCAGTTCCCCGCTCTTTCCTAGGAATTTGAATCCTGAGTGGAGTGACATGGAGGCAGGAAAAAATTGGAAGGAGTCAATTAAGCCAGTACCATAACGGTTCCTCCTTCACACATCCCTGAAGATCTTGGTTCCTGACTTTCCCAAGGCTTGCTCAACAGTCTTTGTTTCTGAGATCTACCTGATAGTTTTTTAAAAAAAATGCCTTTTCCTTAAATTTGATAGTGCTTATTCAGTTGCACTCAAAAAATCTTGACACATATAATGGCCCCTAGGAGTGCAATATGGCTAGTGGTGGAACTAAAATATGGAAGTCGGGACAGACAGTAAGGATGCCCCTATGCATCGGGGCTGAGAAGTTATACACATCATTTTTGTTACACCATTGCAGAACAGCCAACCACACTACTCCCTCCTGTGTTTTGCGACACTGTCCTCATTCCTCTGTTGATTAAATCTTTAAGGAAGTTGGTAGGAAAATACTAAAGTATGTGGGCACTTCTGACAGCTTTTGGTAAAAATCCCAGAAATGACTTAGCGTCAGCCAAGATGGCCTATCTGAATCAAAGAAGAGACAATTCTACCTCACCTAGACTGGCCCTTTCTCCTGGTAGGAATCTAAGATGACAGAGAGTCAGATACTCATGAAGGACTATGAAATATAAATCAATGCATCAGTGACAGTGCTAGAAACACACAATCAGGTAGGTCTCAGAAACAATGCTAGAAGGAAGAAAACAGAGCAAAAAAATAAGATTGGGACTTAGAAAACTGGGGGAAGCCTGGTTCCCCAAGTACCTCCTGAGGTATACTCCCTCCCTGTCAAAGAGCTAAGCTGGGATGAAGCCAGAGGATGCAGAACAAATGAGTTTTGTCTTTATCCCAGAAACAAGAAGATAACCAGCAAAATTAAGGACTGATGAATGGGCAGGGCAGCAAGGCCTATTTCTTTCTGTTTTCTTTTTTAATTAAAGTTTATTGGGTGACAATCATTAGTAAAGTTACATAGGTTTCAGGTGTACAATTCTGTAATACATCATCTATATATCACATTGTGTGTTCACTACCCAGAGTCAGTTCTCCTTCCATCACCATATATTTGACCAAAGGCCTATTTCTAAGAGAAAAGTCCCCAGGCTGCGACTCAGGTGCAAGGACCAGCCCACAGAGTGGAAAATGCAAATAGAAGAGCTGACTTAAGTTGGGTTAAGCTGCCATAGGAACCTTGGAAAATAAAAATCTGTCATTGCACCAAAATCAATCTCTAGGTATCCTAACCCACAGCGCCACCAGAATTTGGGATGCTAATAATATACCCCTACTGGGAAAATCCTACCTGGTGTTCGTCTTAAATCTGTCCATGGAATTCATATGAGGCAACAGAGCACAGGTTCAATAGTAGACAGGCACATAAGGCAATGAAGTAAACCAACCACCTACACATGTGTGTCAGATATTAAAGGAAAAAAAAAATCTAATCATGGAGTACTAATAGCTAAATACATCCAACCTAACAGCCACATTAAGGGGTACTGGCAACTTTCTACAACAGGAAAAAGTAGGAAAAGATTAACTCTGTAAAACAAGATTATGTGATAGAGATAAACATAGAAAGAAAATTATATTCCTCAAGTTGTACTAAGAGAATGACTTTGATTTACAAAGAGTCTAGATCAAATAAGAATATTTCCCTTAGGGCTGGCCGAGTGGCTCAGTTGGTTAAGAGCTCGCTCAAGAGTTTGAGCTCTGAGCAACAGCGGTTCGAGTCCAGCCCGAGCTGAGCAGCTGCTGAGCTGCCAACAGGTAGCAGGATGGCTCAGCTAAAAAAATTTTAAAAAAAAAGAATATTTCCCTCACACTGCCTACATCCTATCCGCTTATATGCTATAATTCCTAGAAAGTTGGTTACCAAACAAAGCCACTTCCAAAGGAGCTGCTGGATACAAATCCGAGTGCTGACGCACCTTCCTCTGTGAAAAGTGAGCTCAGGTGCTGCAATACACCATGCAGCATCACGGCATCTATAGCAGTGATTCCTAGAATGGTCCCTCCAGGAGCAGCACTGGCATAAAGCATCCTTTTCATACATCTTCTTGGAACTCTGTCTCCCACACGTAATATAACCTACACTGTATTTCTATTAAATGGCACAGGATCACTTGGAAGCAGAAAAAATGTTCCAACTCCATAAGGCTAGGATCTGTCACTTACTTGTTAAAGGAAGGGGAACTGTAATCTCCCAGACTCACTACCTTCCCCCATTGTTGTCATTAACTGCCCTGAGAAAATAGCAATTAGAGACAAACTATAAGGAACATTTATGTTCCTGTGAGCAAAGGAAAGAACATAAAGTGGTGGGGTCATGGATGAGTAAGGGCAGGCCCAGAATGATTCTGGAGATATTTTAACACTGATGAACACTAGGCCATCTTCTGGCTTATTAAAATAGTGTTGAGTAGTGAGAGAAGCTGGCATGTTTTCCTGTAGATGAGATGGCCCTGGGGGTTTGAGCGAGAGTTGAAACACAGCTGCCACGGCTAAAACCAAGCAAGTACAGATGTCACACCAAAGTAATTTCATACCATCCAATGCTGCCAATTCAAAATGCCAGTGGGGGAAAAGTATTGAAGGAAGTCTTTAAAATAGACTAGATAACTATTTTAAATACCAATTCTGTGCGTAACTAAAGTTTTTGCTGTTGAGGTCCATGAACGACAGTTATTATAGTTTAGAGAGCTCAATAAAAATCTCACTGCTCAGCAAGATGAATACAATACAATGTGCTGTTCTTAGAGTTTGGAACAACCACATCAAATTCAAAGTCACTAGATAGACTTTGTAACTCCAAATGTCTTTTTTAGAAAATGTCCTTCTAGGCAATTTTTTTTTCTCCTTCAAGAGTTATTTTCCTTATAAGTAGTACTGTCTATTATTTCCTATGTTCCTAACTGATATACTAAAACATATTGCACCACACTGCAGTACTCATCATTTCCCTTAGAAAGATAAACCGGGGAAGGGAACACTTCACACACACACACACACAAAACCAACTTACCAAATGCCTTCTTAGGTTCTATTAACTTCAGGGTAAAGAGTTCCTCTTTTTTTAATTCTCTGAACTTCTTAGCAACATCAAAGTGACGCCACCCAACAATATTTTCTCCATTTATGGATTCAACATGATCCCCCACACAGATTGTTTTAACTGAGTCAATTATGCTGCCATCTTTAATTTTCTGAAAGAAAGTTAAGGATAATGCTTAATATAAAATAAAACTTTGTAACATTACTTTTCATGCTCTTGAGACATCATATACAATATATTGACATATTAACAATGTACTTTAAAGCTCAAAGATGGAAGACCAAGCAATGAAAGACAACCATCTTACCTCCAACCATTCTTCTTCTTCCTTATCTTTCAGCATTCAGCTCCATCACAGTCACCACCTCCTCTGAGAAGCATTTCCTGACATCTCCCCCAACTCTCTCCCCCAAGATTAGGTAAGGTAACTCTCTCATGCTTCTACAGTACTTTTTGCTAAATATGCTGAGCTCTTAGCTAAGCACTTTACATTCACTATCTCATTTAATTGTAATAACCTTAATGAGAGTCTCATGTCATAAGTCAGGAAAATAGAGATTTAGAAATATCAATTAATTTGCCAAGTTCAACACACCACAATGCAATTGTTCATTTATCTCTCAGTCTCCATTACTGAACTGTAATAGCCTTGAGGATGGAGCTGGTCTCATTCACCACTGTATGCCCTGTACCTAGCACAATGCCTACAGAGAAAATCCCTCTATAAATGATTGTTGAATCATTTCAACGTGAGGCCCATTACACAAGAGTAGAGTTTGAGCTTTTTCTACTGGCCACGTTTTTTAAACCTTAGTAACAAAAGCAGAGCACTCAAGACTTTGTACAACCTAAGCTAAGAAAATTGATACCTAATAGGAGACAGGTGTAGTTACCATTTGAGGAGCCAGTAAAAATGACTTTATACAATCATTTTTCATGTATATATTTTAGGTGAGGAGAACTTAGGACCCAAGGAAAACCTCAAATTGGTCTTTCTTAAGCCTATCTATCTTGTATACATATACATCTTTATTACAGTCTCAAAAAGAAGCCTAAGATTCCCAAGGGTAGCATTTAGAATTTTTGAATGGATTTTTAGGGACAGGAAATCCAGAAAACTGCACAGGAAACGACCCTGCAAAGGATGTACAAGTTCCTCCACAGAGGTAAGGAATGGGGCAAAATGAAGGCCATGATCTGCCCCAGGTGTCACAAATCCTTTACGGGCATGGTAGGACAGAAATACCAGGGACTGCTGCCATCACGTAATAAAAGCATAAGTGTTCCCCACTCGTGCCAGGTACAAGAATAGCATCTTCTGACTCAGCAGGCTGATTGATCACTGTGTCCATGAGTTAAGAGAAAAACTGATCTTGTGTACCCCAGCATCTCCATAATATTGCTATAAAAAAAACTGTAAAAGACTAACCTGGGAAGGTTGGGCAGTTTTAAATTTTATAACTAATACTCACAACAGGTTTCTTTTTTATCCTGAAATTTTAAGAATACTGCTATGCTCATTGTAATAGCAGCTATTAATATGCTTTATGCAAATGACACAATAATGCCAACTCAAATAGAGCTTATTATGTATCATTACAAACAGTAAAAGCAAAGAAACCAGAAATTTCATAGTCTAACTGGCATTGTTTTATTATAAGTCCATGTAAGCCTTATAAGCTAGAGAACATATAAGGGTGACAACACGCCATTCGTGGACACATAAGCAAGACTACACAGAATACTAGAGTCCAGAGAAACAACAAAATATACATATAGGTAATATTCTGTCACCTAACCATTCTTAAGACTTTAGAAAATGTGAAAATCTTGGGACAGTTGAGTGGCTCAGTTGGTTAAGAGCTTGCTCAAGAGTGTGAGCTCTAAGCAACACAGTCGCCAGTTCGATTCCCACATGGGCCAGTGAGCTGCGCATGAGCTGAGCTGCCACTGAGCTGTCAACAGGTAGCAGGATGACTCAGCTGGTGAGAGCACATGCTCCTAACAACAAGGTTGCTTGTTCGAGATGGTGGGTTTCTCCTGCTGGCAACTAAAGACTGAACTCTGCCCGCCCGCAACTAAAGACTGAATTCTGCACCTTGAGCTGAGCTGCTGCCTGGATGGTTCAGTGGATAGAGCATGCGCTCTTAACAATGAGGCTGCTGGTTTGACTCCCACATGGGATGGTGGCTGAGGCAGAGCAGCACGGCTGGACTTGGAGCTGAGCTTGCTGTGCCCTCCACAACTAAGATTGAAGGACAACAACTTGGCAGTTCCCCTTCCCCAATTCCCCAACACTGTTCCCCTCCCCCAATTCCCCAATAAAATCTTTAAAAAAAAAACCGAAAATCTATATCTCTGACTTTCTTCTTAGCTTTTATTCTAGTTCTTGATACATTCTGAACCTATTTTTTCTTTGATCAACTACACCATACAAATTTCAGTTGTGCATATTATTTTTAGTTTACAACTTATTGTTATAATTTTATTTAAAATAAGCATTATATGAAACTAATTAAATGAAAGACTTTAGAGACAGGTATGAATCTTACCAGTAAATTAAAGGGGAGAATAACAGAAAGCTGGGGTCGCCTGGGCCTATGATCACCAGAAGAGAGCCCAAACAGAGGAAGAACAGGCAGCTACCAGAAGTCAGTGGACAGCAAGGTGAGAATCCAGGTGGGGAACAGAAAGGTCAAAGTGTATCTACTCATTGGGGCAGCAGGTAAGTATCTGGGATGAAGAGACAGGAAAATCAACATAAGAAGTTTGGAGAAGAACATCGTAAGGTGAACCAGGTATAAAAGCAAAGGGACAGACATTGATTACATTTTTGTGGGTTACCCGAGCCTTAGCTTCCTATGTAGATAGAATAAAGAATGAGCTAGCAATTGAGGCAAATTTCTAAAATTTAATATTCATACCACAGCTTGATAGAGATTAATAATATTGCTAAAAATTGCTACTCAGGCACAAAAGACTAGGAAGAAAGAGAGGCTTTAATTCTTTACTTGTATTTACTGGGTCAATATCATTCTCTTTAACACTTAGAACTTTCTTTCCTCTGACTTTGGAACTTAATGATGAAAAAGGAAAAAAAGACATTAAATGTTTTTTGGAAGATAGAATTTACAACATTATTAAACTTAGAGGTTCCCAATCATTTCACACCATTATTAGAGTATCTCCCATTTTTTCATCCCATATCTTTACAGAACTCTGCCTTCCCATCACAGATACCTGCAAAACTGTAGGGTGGCATCCCACCATACTCAAAGTCTTAAACATTAGATTCAAGGTTGTTTGAGCTGATGCCCTATGCTGGGGACCATGCAAACCTTGTTCATAATAACAAAATGACATTCATATGACAATTGTAAATAATTATTTCATTTAGTCCTCATAACAAGCCTAAGCAGGGTATATTTAATATTCGATTAGTGAATGAGGAAACCAAGCCACAGTAAAACATAACTTAACCAAGATAACACAACCAATAACAGAATTAGGTTTCAAATAGAGGTTGTATAATTATGAAACTTCATGTCTTTCCACAAAACACTCAGAATCAGATAGATCTACCTCACCCAAGACAAATGGCTAGTTAAAAAAACAAAAAGGAAAGAAAAGAGCAGAGCTTCGGGGCACCGCTGTCCAAAATGACCTCTCACTTTGGTAATCATTTTTCAGCATGTAAGTATATTAAATCAACAAGTTGTACACCTTAAACTTGCATGTCAATTAAGTTGAATAAACATGACATGTCAATGTTATATGTCAATTATATCTCAATAAGACTGGAGGAAAAAAATGACCTATCACCTTTGAACTCTGAAATCTCTTTTTTGACAACCCACCTTTCTACTTTACTTTTGCTTACTTCTACTAAAGCTGTTCATCTATAGCATGGCTTCCAGATCTCAAACTTATCTATTTTCTCAGATCACCACTTCAATTCTGGCTTTACATGCCTCTTTCTCACAGATCCCAGCTTCCATCCTAGAATCCTCTGCCCCTTTGAACTTCAACATTTCCACCCTTGCTGATTATTAGTTCTGGATAATTAAGTAATCACAATGCTAGAAATATATAACTACCATGTTTCTCAGAATGAAGATCACAGTACGATGTGAATAACTTAGTTCTACTAAAGTAAAAGTACCTCAAATCATAAAGATTCCTACAAGAGGATATGCTGAGAATGACAGTATTGTGGTTATTTATGTTATTTAATTCAAAATGAATTTGTTTTTTTAAGTCAATTTAGCCCCATTTTTTAATTACATGGTATAAGCCCTTATATTTATTTTGAAACAAAGTGTAAGTCTCTTCTCTTAAACTAGGAATTAGCAAATAATGGCTCATACAACCACTTGTTTTCATACAGCCCATGAGTTGTGATTTTTACCCTCTTAAATGATTAGGGGGAAAATAATAATTGTGACATGTAAAAATTATACTAAATTCAAATTACATATAAATAAGGTTTATACATAATAAATAAGGTTTCACTGGAGGATATCTATGCTCATCATTTAAGTATTGTATATAATTTTCTGTGCTCCAATGGCTGAGTTAAGCAGTTGCAACAGGGATTGTATGACCCTAAATTATAAGGAAGCCTAAAATATTTACTATCCGGCCCTTTACAGAAAATGTTTGTCAACTCCAGTCTTAAACTATTATAGGAATTTATAGATTTTGTTATTTAAATATACTCTGAATTTTCTGATTGAGTTACTTACATACTTTTTCCTGGGAAATGTTGATATTTGGATACTGAAATCATAAATGTTTAGGTCTGTTGTTTTTTCACCTGAAGAGTTTCATCTGCAAGAAACACGCAGTACTGGGCCAGCCGAGTGGCGCATTGGTTAAGAGCTGGCTTGGGACGCCAGAGGGCCCCGGTTCAGATCCCACATGTGAGGGCCAGTGAGGACAAGTGACACTGCCCTCTACAGCTAAGATGCTGAACAACAGCTCAACCTGGAGCTGGGCTGCCATGAGTCTCCGGCGACGGCGTAGGCTGCAGCCCCTGCTGCAGTAGGTTGCTATGGGCTACCGTGTGTAGCCAGCAGCCAGCGTGAGAGGCCAGCAGCTGCTGTGAGCGGCTGTCCAGAAGCCAGCGACTGATCTGCCTCACCCAGGAAG